ACAACAAGGCTAGGTCTACACAGCAATGTTAAGTCAGAAAAAGAAACGTTCCGCAAATTGCCTATCTTTTTCTGATTTACTTTTGAAAGAGGCTTTTCTGAAATGTGGTGCATCTACATGGTGCCAAATTTGGAAAAAAGTGCTCTTTCGACATATCCCTTATTCCTTGTAGAACAAGGTTTTACAGGGATGACAAAAGAGTGTGTCCGCTTTTTCGAAAAATTTTTCAGAAAAGCGAATGCATTCCTTGGATGAGGTATTGCTTTTTCGGGATACCTCAGTCTTGATGTAGCCCTAATGAGGAAATGGGCATCCTTACTCACCAAATCACACTGTGAAGAGTTTCGAGGGGATCTCACAAAACTACATGACAGACACCATTTTGCAAAGTACTCCACACCATCTAACGGCTCATCTAGACTACGTGGAACAGTCGAAAGAGGATATGCAAATTCCGCGGGCGGAACTGCATATCTTCTTCTAATCTCACTTTTGAAAGCAGAGCTTTCGAAAGTGAAAGTAGTTTAGACGCGGCTTTTTCTGTGACTCCCCCCCCCCGCTTTGTCGAAAAGCCACGTAAACCTCATTTTTTGAGGCAGAGCAGCTCTGCTTTCGAAAATGTGATCGGAAAAAGATATGCAAATTTCGTGCTTTCGACTGTGCCACGTAGTCTAGATGAGCCCTAAGTTTGGTCACTCCATCTCAAAAAAGATGTATTAGAATTGGAAAAGGGCAGAGAAAGGCAACAAAATGAGTAAGGATCTGGAACTACTTCTATATGAGAAGAGATTAAAAAGACTGGGATTTTCCAGCTTGGAAAAGAAATGACTAAGAAGCCATATGATAGAGATCAATCATGAATGTGTGGATAAGTTGAATAAAGCACTGCTTTTCCTTCTTATAACAGGGGAACCAGGGATTAACTAATTAAAGACATAGGCAAGAAAGTTTAAAACAAATAAAAAGATGTACTTTTTCACAATAATGCACAGTGAACCTGTGGAACTCATTGCTAGATGTTGTGAAAGTGAAAACTAAAATTGGTTTATAAAAAGAATTAAATTCATAGAGAACAGGTCCATCAGTAGATATTAGCCAAGATGGTAAGGGATGCAACCTCATGCTCAACAGAAGCTCGGAGTGGCCAATGGGAGATGCAGCTCTTGATAATTGCCCTGTTCTGTTCATTTTCTCTGAAACACTTGACATTGGCCATTGTTGTCCGACAGAATACTACGCTAGATGAACCACTTGTCTGATTGAGCATAGCAATTCTTATGAGACTCAGTGATGCACCAACCAAATCTTATGCTCATGGTTCCATGGAAGAGCTGCCAACTGAGATCCCTAGTGGGCTCTTGGACTAAGGTAAACATACACACTGGCTTACCAGGGCTCCCTGCACTAGTTGGCACTTGGAAACATAGGCACCGAGTCCAAGGGTGCTCCAAGTCTGGAGCACTTGTGGGAAAATATGGTGGGCAGCCAGCTCTCCTCTTTCCCCCCTAGTACCTCCTGCTTGGGAGGGATATTAGCCAGAGTTCTTGCCTCCACACATGCCACATACCCTGGTTCTGGGCTATGAGGAGCCGCAAGGGTGGTTTATGCAACTAGATAATCTCTTGATGTCCCTTCCAGTCCTATGATTTTATAACATCAGCATACACCAACAGGAGAACTCACATTTCCAGAGGTAGCAGCAACATTTGAAGAGGGAACAAAAGGGTCAGAAATGAGACTGGGATCTCTGTTGGGTCTCACCACCCAAGCCAACACCTGCACATAGGCCTCACTGTGGAGAGGTGCTACCAGAAGGTGGCAGACACTTTGCCTGTTGGTTGGAGTGGGGAAGAATCCCTAGCCATTGTAGATGAAAAAAGGAGGAAGCAGTAACAATAGTGATGGTTGGATGAGCCACAAGAGGTGGGTCTGCAGCCACCTGGGAATATGCCCGGGGGGAGGGGGGTAGAGCGAAGTCTGGGTGCCCCTAGAGCTAGTGGAAAGAACAGCAGGCAGATGGTGGACCAACCAGCCACGGCAGCAGAAGGAACTTTCTGTGACAGGCTCTTGCCCTTTTTATTGCCCTACCTTTCTTGCTAACTAAGGGGGCTCCATTGACAGTTGATAGTCTCACCCAGTGATGTCAGCAGAGTGATGTCAGATGGCAGACAAGACAGAAATCTGAAGTAGGGCAACAATGGTGGTCAGGGAACCCTCCCTCAGGTTTCCTAACCAGATAGAGGGACACCACTGAGGACAAATAATGGGAACAACCACTAGAGGGGATATGCAAAGTATCAGAGAGTAGTTAACAACAGTTCACAATCATGCTGGAAGGGCATAAAAAGTGGGGTTCTGCAGACATCTGTATTGGGACCAGTTCTATTCAGTATCTATTCAATACCTTCATCAACGATTTAGATGATGGCATATAGAGTACAATTATTAAGCTTGCAGATGATACAAATCTGGGAGGGATTGCAAGTGCTTTGGAGGACAGAGTCATAATTCAAAATGATCTGGACAAACTAGAGAAATGGTCTGAGGTAAATAGGATGAACTTTAATAAGGACAAATGCAAAGTACTACACCTAGGAAGAAACAATCAGTTTCATACATACAGAATGGGAAGTGATTGTCTAGGAAGGAGTACTGTTGAAAGGGATTTGGGGGTCATAGTGGATCACAAGCTAAATATGGGTCACCTGTGTGATACTATTGCAAAAAAAGCAAACATGATTCTGGGATGCATTAGCAGGAGTATTATAAGCAAGACACGAGAAGTCATTCTTCTGCTCTACTCTGTGCTGATTAGGCCTCAGTTGGAGTATTGTGTCCAGTTCTGGGCACCACATTTCAAGAAAGATGTGGCGAAATTGGAGAAGATCTAGAGAAGAGCAACAAAAATGATTAAAGGTCTAGAGAACATGACCTATGAGGGAAGACTGAAGGAACTGAGCTTGTTTAGTTTAGAAGAGAGAAGACCGAAAGGGGACATGACATCGGTTTTCAAGTATATAAAAAGGTGTTACAAGGAGGAGGCCTCTGATGATAGGACAAGAAGCAATGGGCTTAAATTGCAGCAAGGGAGGTTAAGGCTGGACATTAGAAAAAACTTAATGATCAGTGTGGTTAAACACTGGAATAAATTGCCTAGGGAGGTTGTGGAATCTCCATCTCTGGAGATATTTAAGTGCAGGTTGGGCAGACATCTATCAGGGATGATCTAGACAGTGCTTGGTCCTGCCGTGAGGGCAGGGGACTGGACTCGATCTCTCGAGGCCCCTTCCTGTTCTAGTATTCTGTGATTCTAACTAATGCTAGTCTGGTTGTGGAGAGAATGGAAGCTAACCACACCTCCGCACTAGGCTGCATTTGGGAAAAGGTGGAAGAGGGAGGCCAGGCTGAAGGATGTGGGAGCTACACAAGAAGTTCCGTTGGGTGGCCATATACAAGTGTGTGTGAGAATGGAGGCTCAAACAAAAGAGAGCAATCACAAGCATGAAGAATGTGCAAGTGCAGAAGAAAAGTGGGGCTGGGTGAAAGGAGGCAAACAGAAACAAACAGCAAGGAGAGAAGGCAGATGAGATGGAGGCAACAGACAGTAAAAGCAGGGGCAGGCAGGGCAGGTAGTCAATGAAGAGGGCAGCCACTGATGCAACCGCCGAATATGGGATTCCTGGAACTCTCTGATCCTGCCCCTGCTGGCATACTCATGCTGCATGGAGGACACCATTTTGCAAAGCACACCATCCCAACCCCTCTATGTTCATGTGTGACGTCACACTGTTGCGAGCAGTCTCATGGTATCCACCATGATACTGGCCAAAATTATGTCTGGTTTTATATTCCTGTCAGACAGTGCAAACCGTAGAAAAATGACTGGCTTAAAATTGGACAAATAGCCTGCAAGCAACAAAATGTGGGAGGGAGGGGATCATGGAGAAGGACATGCAAGATGTGTGTGTGGGGGCACAGAGTGACTAGGTACTAAGTGTGAAATATCCAGACACTTTCAGGATCCCTGGTCTCCCTAAGGGCCCAAGAAGTACAAAGGGAAGGAGACTTGTGAAAAAAGGGGATGGCTTGTTGCCTGATGGGGAGGTAAGGGGGGAAGGGAAAGGTCCACGCTAGATAGGAGCAGTGAACCACAAGGGGGGGTTAGCGGGCAGGCAGAGGGAGCAGGGGACCGATCTATCAGCCTACTGCGAACTCTTGAGGAAAGGGGGCGGGGGGCAGAACATGCGCACCTATCTGGTAAAGTTGCCTGCACGGAGATACAAACCAAATCAACACCAACCCCACAAAAACAAAACACGCGGATCGTCCTGCGCCCACAGGCTTGAGCAGGTGCCGGGCAGTGCACGCTGAGCACCCTGGCAGACATCCTCGGGCAGCTGCTGCGAACTGCAAAGGAGGGACGGACCCAGGCAAAGCCAGACAGGTGGCCACCTGCCTCTGGGCAGCGAGGAGCGAAGCGGCAGCCCCAGGTGACCGAAGGCTGGCAGATGGTCACTTTGGTCCGCGGGCGCGGAGGCGACGGGCCGGAGGTGGAGGCAGGGCTCCGCGCCACTCCCCCTCCCCCGCGGCGGGCGGCGCCCACGGCCCCC